TGTATCTAATATTGTATTCTGCTTTTTATCTTGTTGTATTTTCTCAAAATCTGGTAAACTATTTGTAGAGCGAAGCTTATTTTCTTTGAAAATAATCAAATTTGGAATTTCTGGATATGACAGTTTTCATATAATTGATATACAATTTTTTACTACACAAACTCTATTTTTCTCAAATTTCAGCTCACCTATTTTTATTCCCGTTTTAAGTTCTACTTTTTCAGCTATAATAAAGCCATCTGTATATATATGTTTTACTTGATCTCCTAGTGGCTTCACAATTTCTGATATTCTTTTTCGTGTAGATGCTAATAAGAATGGTTTTATTTGTGGATGTAAACTATAATTTTGTCTATTTTTTTGCTTACATAATGCACCCTATAATGAAACTAATAATACTTTACTAACTTTTCCTTCTATTCCACTTTCTTTTTTAATTTTGTATAATATATTACCCATTCACTAAACATGTTTTTTCCTGCTATACATATATTTCTTTCATAAATAAGTATATTTAGTGATATATTTATTAATGTTACTTTCAATCCATTTTTTCATGCACATTCTAAATCATAATGTGTGTAAATTCTATGTGGATTATAACGTAAATATCTCGTATATTGAAACTTTTCTTTGGAGGATTTCCTTCTATTGTTGCTTTATAAATTCCATATGGAAATTTACTCTATTTTTCTGTAAAAGATGAGTTTATAGTATGAAACTTACCTGGTGCAATTGGTCATGATGCATCTTTTTTTATCATTTCAAATATATATATTGAATTTATATCGTATTGATTAGCTTCTTCTTTATATCTTTCTGCAAATATTAGAGCACCAGTTGTTGCTAAATCTATTCATGCACTTTCTTGTTTACTTATTTTTTCACTTTTTTGGGGTGCTAAAGTGGTTTCTTTGAAAAATTTTATAGTTGTTAATGTATAATTTCCAGATTTACGCATATCAATTCTACTATTGGTTTTTTTAGCAATAGCTTCAGACTCATCATTAATTCTTTTATATGCTTCCATAATTGTTTCTCTATTATTTGCTTTAACAAAATGATATTTGTTATGTAATGTGCAAAAATCTTCTTTAACTTCATATCATTTTCTTTTCCCATCATAAAACTCAAATCCATTTGCTATATTTTTATGAATTAAGATGGTTTTTCTTGATAACTCATGCTATTTTGCTTTGAACTAGATGATGCAGAGTATCAAGGATGTTGAGCTTCGAGTCTTTGACTCATTTCTGATTCTCTTATCCGGGGGTTAACTGCCGGCGCATTTGCCTCTCTCGGCTAAAGTGTTGGTGGGTTTTCATTGAATGATATGTGATCACCTTCAGGAGTTGATAGCAGATTTTGCTCTGGAGTAACGTTTTCAGTTTGAGGTGTATTTTGCTCTAGAGTAACGTTTTCTACATTTTGCATTATAAGCAAAGCTGGTTGGCATTGTCCTTTACAAAGGTTTCCATTTAAATTCATGTGTTTATTAAGATCTCGAGTTTTACTAGTTCTTATTTCTTGATTACAACCTGGATATTTAAGTATCTTAGCCATAGTAATATGTTTTTTCAGTATTTTTTATTAATATACCAGATCTTTTGTTTAAATAAAAAATAATTATTCATTTATTGAAATGTTTAATGAATATATCGAGGGAGGTAAATATATCGAAAAGTCAGGAGTAAATATACATGCGAATATATACACAATTCTGGAGAAGTCTGTGGACATGGGTATCAATGTTCTAAAGGGTGCCATAAATATTGGAGATCTAAAAAACGTGTTTTATATAATGATTGTGAAAAACCTATAGCTTCTGCTTGTGGATGTTGCAAAAAACATTCTAAAGGATATTATGTCATGCAATTTTATACTTGACAACTTCAGATGCTTGAAAACCACCCATGACTCTTCGAGTCATCCTTTGGGCCTGCAAGACAATAAAATTTAACTATCTTTTTTACTATAGAAACCTAATTGATAACTAAAAGATTACTATGCTCTGCTTCGCTCCACAACTGCATCGCTCACATCTAAAGTATATACTCCTTAGTGTTAAGAAACTATTTGTGAATTAAACAGATAACTAATGCTATGCTATACTTCGCATTCGGAGTCGCTATGCTCCTCTAGTACAAAAAACTAAATAGAAATCAAATATGATAACTATGCTCCGCTTCACTCCGCAACTGTGTTATACATCCTTAGAAGAGTATACTCCTTAGTAATAGAAAGCTAAATAGTAATCGAAATAGATATCAAAAAAGTACACCAAGCATGAAGTATATATAAAAATACACCATTCATGAAAGTTTTTTATATGTTATATATAAGTTATATAAGTTATCAAGAATACGATAAAAACTTAAAAAAAAACAAAAATGAATAGTATTATCAAAAAAAACACAACCGTGTATCTAAAAAGCCCACTATTCTATTACTACTTGAAATATAGGTTCTTGGATGGTAGCAGCATCTGGCTTGAGATACAAACTAGCAAAGCACTAGTTAAAATTTCTAAAGCTAGTCATTAGGTTAGAAAGAAAAATTATATAATAAGGTATAGCTTTATACTCAAGATATACAGAGTTATCTTTGGTATATAATTTTTATTAACCTTGTATAGATTATAATAGTGCTATTAGAACTTTGTTTTTCTTTTTATGTTTTTTCTTTTTTATAATTAGTGCTTCTTTTTTTTTTATGTTTTTTTTTTTCAGATTATTTTTATTAAACCTCTTATAAAATTTTTCACCTTTTTGTCTTATGTCTCTTAAGAAAAAAGATGAATTAGAAAAGAAAAATATGAGTTTGACAAGATATATAACAACTTGTTCATAATTAAAGGAGTGTACCATTATCTAGTACAAAATCTTGAGCAAGTTTAGGATCTCTAAATAAACTAATAGTTATAGCAGGTTATATTGAGTACTTACCTGATGAGTTTTTATTAAATTAAAACTCTATACTTAGGATATAATACAATATATTTGTATATATTTTAAAGTTCATATGAATAAAGACAGAATTATTTAAAAAAAAAACAAAAAAACTATAAACTAGTACCTGTTATTTAAAAATAGTTTTTATATACTATTTGCTTTTTTTTTTTTTTTAAATATTAAGGTAACCACTTAGATCCCCAGCACTTAGCTTTATTCAGATAATTACGATATTACATCAATTTTACGAGGATACAACTAGCCACATGTGTACTTTTGGTATCTAATTTAAGTAGTCTGCCTGGGTTCTACACTAGCCGCCATACCTGCAACCTAACTAGAAGATTACCTATTTAAGCT